AAATATTACTGTTGACAAATGAAGCATTTTCCTAATCAATAAAACGATATGAGATACATCTATGCACTGTTGTTTCAGTGTCATTTTAACAGTGGTCTGGTTAAATGACACATTAGCATAGAGGTTCAAGCGGACAATGTCACAATGCTGTGAAGCCCGCTTTGGTAAAACAGTTAAGATGAAGTTATTGAAAAAAACATCGTTGCGTACTTCTGCCCAACACAAAAGAGTATTTTTGTTCGCTTTAGTGGATAGTGCTGACATTATGACCTTAATCTTTAATATTACTCTACTACTGTTTTCTTACTGTTGACCAAGGTGTTTTAAATTTCTAATCCCTAAAAGTGAATGCATAATAACACTTCTGTCCTTGCGTTCAATGTTTGCCATGCTGATGGGCATTGTCGGTGTTATGTCAAACGTGAGTCCTTCTGCCAAGTCTTTTGCCTCAATTGCCGCCTACATTCAATGAGTCATAGAAGCCCTTACCGCTTAATGTTACAACGTGTTAACGGACCCAGCATCATGTGCCAAAAAGCGAATAATCTGGGAGAAAACGGTTGAAAACAACCCCATCTACTGAAAGAATACTGTTGGCGGCCAAATATCGCAGAAGAATTTACTGAACTAGTATCTCTTTGTGAAGCTGGAAACCAGAAATAAAGATGGTGAATAAACAATTTCAAATTAGTGCTTCAAATCTACTTTTGTTGAACCCATGTTTGAGACACGGTCTTGCGTCCTATGCACTGTATGCGGTTAAATACCATGTAGTCGAGTGCTTAAATGGTTTCCCTAGGCAACTAGACGACAGGAAGCGGTGCAGTACAGATGCTGGTGTAGAGTGAGAAATAGATTTTTTTCTTTACACTGTATTTTCGCCGTTTCAATTCGGTATCATTATTTTTAATGTGCAAATTAGCACTCCCTATATAAGAACTTTGTATCTCACAAAGAAACGAGTGACAGCAGACAATATGTGCAGATCTGCAGAACGTAATGGGGGCGGCGAGTTTTGTTAAAAGTTGATGCACTGATTATCGTTTAGTCATTTGTTCAACGCAAGTTGCGACGACAAATCGAATATTGAACTTTTGATTCTGAGGTTGAAAATATCTTAAATGAGAGCAAAAGCTCAAAACAAGGAGAACTGCTCTCATAAACGAAAATCTAAACCAGCAAAACAAGCGCAAATACCCTTGAAGGCTACCTGCGAATACGACGTATATCCAGCGGTCGTCTGCATTTCGGGACTTGCGTACAAATAAGTACCGACGTCCGTAGACAGCTGAACGGACACACTGATGTTAGGGCTAAACTGCGCGTTCTCCGCACTGTTAGCATCTGGTACTCCCGTAATCGCCAAACCGAAATCGCCAATTTTCACATGATCGTACGAATCCAAGAAAATATTCGAAGGCTTCAGGTCACGATGAATCATGCCCTGAAAGTAAGGTAAAATTGCGAAATGTAGAGCGAAATGTTTTGATTAGCACCTGAGTGTGAATGTAGTTAAGGCCTTCAAGAATCTCTCGAAACAAACGCCAAGCTCGTCGACTGTCGCTAAAGATTTCTTTTCGATCGATCGCTAACTTCAGGGTGCTTTTCTCACAAAATTCCATCTGAATGTATAGAATCTGAACGAGGTGAACATTGTCTATGAATTTCTCATTGTCGTCTCTTTTTTCGCTTTCCACCTCGGCAGACACAGGAACAGAAAGGCTTTCGTCCTTTTGGTTAGAATCTCTTTCGAAAATGACCACGTCTGAATCGCTGGTCGAATCAAGACTGAAAGATATGTCGTCGAAAAGGGTATCAACACCCGCTTCCGCTTCACTGCTATCGCTGCTGTTCGCGTCAGACGCGTTCGCCCTAAATCACAGTAGAGCACCATTATCTTCTAAAATCACGAAACAACAGCGACACAAAGAGCGCTCAATTCGACTGTAGTTCAATGATTTATGCGACTTTCGGTCTAAGTGCGGGTTTCATTGTTAAAGTATTGGACCCAGTGTCTTTACGACATTGTAGTCGCTCATATATTTTGATTATTAATTTACGCTAAGCGATTACTATGTTTTAAGACATGGTGCAGTTACACTGAAAGTAACGAACAGAATGAACTACTGGCGCGAAATACTCAGCAAATCCATCATGACAGTAACGCAGAAATCGACGCATCCGCATCTGGCACGGCGTCCAGTCACAGCAATTCCAGGCCAATATTAGCTGAAAAGCATGTTAATAAGTCCAATAAATATCGGGTACTCACAAACGAACTCACTGAATGCTTCGATTGATAAGGCTTTGCCTTAAATTCAACGCTGACTGGCGACAATATCAAAGCCGATTGACAGACCTCTGACTGGCGAGTGCAAGCATTTTCGAATGAAATCACCCAATAAAAATGGCTTATTCATCGCATGCTATGCAACATATTCGAGTGCCGGCTCTGCACCGGTTCACTAATGCAATTAAAACTTTTACAAGCTTCGGACTTACTGAGAATAGCAAAGAATGCTCTGTCCTCTTCTCGAGTTCATTCCTGCGTTTACAACTGCATTTTGTCTGTTATATTGTAAATATTATCTGCAATCAATCTCTGACTATGGAAGAACGATATTCTCAATCTGTCATCAATAAAACGGATAGAAATCAACGTATCAAACGAACTAGAAGCTTCGAAATCAGATGGCATCTCCAGCCTTCTCAGTCAATCTTAAAATACCCTAATCATTTCAGCCACCATGATAAACGACTAAACATTACTCAATTTTTTCATTTTCTTAAAATTACAGTTGCGCCGTGTGCTGATTTTTAATCAGCTATCCGGTAGGTAAACGCGAACGTAGCAGGAAGGGGCAGACATCAAACATGGCGGATGAACGCATTGCTTGCTTTGGCATGACCGCACCAAAGCACCATCCTGTCCCAATTATTCGACCCGCCATCCGTTTTTCACCTGGCTGCATCGAAGTAGAGTGAGAAGAATTCCCTGCTCAAGCTTTGTAATAAACGAAACTTTACGCCGCGGGTGGAACTTGAATCTCTAAAGTACAAGAAAACTCGTTGCGCCACCCTCCCCCTTCCGAAACTCGATAGGCTCTTATATCGGCGTGAAGAATTAATGAGTGTTAAATAAGTCCCATGCATTCCAATGCCTTCTAAAACAACGGCGCTTGACATTTTATCACCTTCTGCACACTAGAAATATCAATATAAGCTACAGCTATTCAGGGCTGATAGAGCCATCTATATTAGGATTATTTATAACAGAATGTTAATTTTGTATTTTTCGCGTTTTGCTTCTACATCGCTTTTAGTCGCATTTTTAAAGGACTCTCTCAATCAAAAAATGCGTTTGCACATGTGCCTACAGCAATATACCACCAGATGTTAACATCTTTAAAATTAGTACCAAAAGCAATGGCTCGTTTTTAACATATTTCGATGGATATATCTTAACATTCTTAACCTTTGGCCGTTGTGATGGTGGATCAAATAACAGAGATAAACTGGAAACCGAACAGGTGCTCGCGACTTGACAACTAGCAGAGCAATCTCATTCGTCTGCTACCATAGCCTGATTCAGCATTTTAATGTAAATTTCATGATAAATCGAGATTTTGACTATCCGTCGAGCTCGATGCCATACGCCAACAGGCTGATGGTAATCGACTCCCTTTGTTAGCACTGGCTGCTTCAATACTGACAACAGAGACGGACAGGATATCATCATTTGCTTACAACAGTTATGAGACGATGAAAAACACCAAAACACTGGCACGTAAGCAATTTGTAATTATATTAAAGTAACGTTCAAATGGTACTGAAATATTCAAGCTCAATTTAACACCTACTTTGCAGAGTAACTCCATTCGACCGATCTGCCGGTATCAGGGACTGGGCACAATGACTCTAGAAACGCGCTATCGTCAACAATGGGTTTCTCTGCAGTCGCAAAACGGACTTGTGTCTGATCTTTCTCGTCATGCGGCGGAAGTATAGTAGGTACCGCTGCTGCCTCAATCCAGGAATTGTAGTAACGGACGACGTTTTCATGGTTCAGCTGCGAAAGCAGCTTTACTTCACGGGTAATCTTTTTGTTTAACGTCTTGTTCCGTGGGTTCAACGGAACGCGTTTTATTGCGTAAACACAGCCATCCAGTTTGTTACGCACTTTGCAGACGTCGCCAAAGCCGCCGCGGCCGAGCGACTTCAGTACCTCAAACTCGGTTTCCAACCTCTTCGAAGCTTGTTTGTAGAGCAGCGAATGAGGCATATCGTTGCCTACAATAACCGGATACATCATTTCATCCTCACCGTCGAAGGCAGTATCAATCGAACGTCTGTGCTTTGTATCTGCGTAAAAAAACGAATGCAATAACAGCCTGTCGGCGGACCAGCGCGACGAAGGACGAGTGACGATCATGTGTGCCAGCAACTCCTTGAATTCTTCACCAAAACTGGGAGGTACACTCGAAAGATCTTGCTTTCCGTTCGAACTGCCCTTAGCCAGATCCAGCATACAACATCCAAACATAAATATATCGGTCAGCTTTCTACTTTCAATGTCTTCTTGGCGATTCCACTCGCATTTCAGAGCATCAAACGTAAACTTCTCTTTTTCAGCGAAGTCCGTCAACAGTTTCAGTCGCTGATAAATCCTGAAGTCGCTTAACAAGAACCCGCTCGTCGACTCCCATAGACAGCCCAGACGAATATCGTCATGTGTGATGCCGGCTGAATGCAGGTAGTCGATCGCCGTTAATATATCATGAAGTATCTGCCTCATTTGGCTGACAGGAATTTCAACTGATCTCTCGAGAAATCGAGAAACTGGCATCGAAAAATTGTTCTCCTTTAACAGAATCACCTCAACGCTATGTGCATCAGGTAACTTCACCTGCAACGTCAGGTAATTTAGCAAATAACTGCACCGTAACATCGCCATTGCCGCGATTTCTTCTTTAAGTAACTCGAGCTAAAACCAAACAGTAAGCCAATCAGTAAACCAAACAGTTTTTAAACTGTCTTCAAAACGGTAATTTAACTTACAAGAACAAGTTGCGTAAGTCAAAGTAACTGAAAATTTAACAGCATAATACAATCTAAAACTTTAATAACATGATACTTAATCTTTGAAACGTTTAACCTCAGAAAGCTCACTGACAAGTTTCTTTTCCATACGGTATAGCCAATTAATAATATCGAAAGGTGCCGAAAGAATTTAAATTATTTCTAATTGCAATAAGTTGACTGGCATTTGAATGTATAACGGCAAGCAAATAGATATCACATCCCTGTGTCTCTTTATTCAATGCATCAGTGTTGAAAACCTTCAAAACAACTGTTGTTAACTACGGAAGTCTTATCACCAACGTGCTTGATTTGGGGCATGACAAAAAACTAACGAAACATGTTCAGTTTAGACCCCAGGACTGTTTGCCCGAATTAATGCACGTGTGCTCGCAAATATTTGAAAAACAGATGATATCATCAGGCCAAACAAGTGAAAAAAAGCTTCACTACGTTTCTAATTCCATGAAAAAATATGAAATAGGTGATAAAACAAAATTTATGACTAATATTTGACGCGGGTCGAACTTCTGTTCGATAGTAGTGTCGAGGCAGGGTCAGATGCCGCCGAACGAGTCTACCGGTTGCGGATGGTGAGACAACCCTCATAGGATTAGCTGCAAAATAAGCGGAGAACTTTCTGGCAATGTTGGCTTTTGAAAATACCGCATGACCCGATGACAGCGCGGTGGTATGAGTAGTATATGCCGCCATCAAATAAGCACGCTGCTATCCCTAACGAGCGGTAGCCGATTCTGAGCCCAGCTGAAAAAGACAGGTAGACATCAGACAGGCACCCGGCCTTAAAAACCAATGCCAAAGCAAGATATGATGAGTCTGCTTACCTCAAGAAAGAATTCTATGGCGTTCCCACACAGGCGACGCACAGCAACAAATACCGGCGGCTGTGAAAAAAGAGCAAGGTAACCAGTTCTTGCGACGACGGCAATCCCAAAGGAAGAGACCGACATGTCGAAAACGTAGCGAGAAAATGTGAATAGCCACTTGGAACAATGACGGGAAAGAACATGTAGCTAGCAGAAGCTCTTCGGAGAACAAAAGTTCAGATAGCTTGTATTCAGAAGACGAAACGGAAAAGTGAGAAACCGAAAGAGACTGGACTAAACTATAAACTTATTTACTGTGAAACATCAAGTAGAAAAAACGGAGTGAGAGTGGTATTGAATGAAGCGACCAAAAATAGGGCATTCGAAGTCAACTGAATTAACGACAGAATCGTTAAGTTGACCTTAGAAAGTGGTATCTTAAATATAAAAAGTGCCTACACCACTCTCCTCCCCCAGACTGGTCAGAATGAAGCCGAAAAGTTATTCTTGGATGGCCTAAATATTGCACTGCAAAACATACCGCGAAGCGAAAAAGTAATAATCGAGGGTGACCTTAATGACCATCAGAACATCGAAGGGGTTACGACAGGATCCATGTAGGAAATGCACACGGTATGATAAACAAAGAAGCAGAGAACATCTTGCATATGGCAGTTGCGTATCATCTAGCTCTTATAAACACGTTCTTTCAGGAAAAAACCACCTGTTAACCTACAAGAGCGAAGAAAAACCAGATCGACTATTTCCTACTTTGAAGGGACGAACTTAAGGAAAATGGGGAATCTGTACAGGCCAGCACCAGCCACTAGTCCTAGATCTCTTTCCCTCTCTCTCTCTCTCTCTCTCTCTCTCTCTCTGAAACGGTCCATTCGAACGGTGGGCACTGCTACAGCCCCGAAGATACAGTGGTGAAAGCTGAACGAAACGTCCAAAATGGAAGCTATGAGAAAAATGACGAAATATGGGAGTGGATGGCAAGCATAATCGTAGGGAATGCCAGAAGCCTAGTCGGAAAAATAAAAGGCACAGCACATATAATTCCACCACATATAAAGAAAGAAACGTGGTGGTGGAATTCGGACGTGCAGGCGACCCTACGACAGAAGAAAGAGCTGTTCAAGAAATGGCAGCTATCAAAGAGCGTGGACGACCGAGTAAAATGCGTCATATCAAAGAGGGATGCAAAAAAGTCATTGCTGAAGCAAAGTCTACAGCGTGCAAGAGCTTATACAAAAAACTAGCAACAGAGGAAGACGAGAAAGACATCTATCGCATAGCAACAGCCAGAGAAAGAAGAATAAGAGACGTCACTAAAGCGAAGGGCATAAAAGATGTAAACGGAGTGGTGCTGACCGACGAGAAAAATATTCGTACTCGATGGTGAAGGCAATTCCAAATACAACTAAATTAAAAACATTCCAGAGAAGTCGCGGAAGAAATCCCACAACATCAGGGACTAGTGGAAAATATCGCACTGAAAGAAGTAGAACATGCTTTAAACAGAATGAAAAATAAAAAGGCCTCTGGCCCGGACGGAATTCCAGTATAAGCAAGGAGAGCACTAGGGCAAGAAGGCATGATTAGGCTCTGCGCGCCATTCAACAAAATTATGGAAGGGGAGAAAATTCCAGAATCACGGAGGCAAAATATTTTGATGCCAATGAACTAAATGAAATGGGACATGCTCGCCTGTGAAAACTACCGGGGAATTAAACTGCTTAGGAACACCATGAAGATTTATGAGGTAGTGCTGGACAAAAGATTGAGAAAGTCGACATCATCACGAACCAGTTTAGAATTATGTCAGGCAGATCTACGATGGATGCTATCTTCACTTTAAGATCAGTCCTCGAAACATACAAAGAAGGCAGACAAGACAATTACATGATGTTCCTAGATCTTGAGAAAGCCTCTGATCGAATCCAGAGGCAAGCAATCTGGTGGAACATGAGAAAGAAGCTTAGGCCAAAAAATGTCAGGCTTGCCAGAGACATGTACGACAGAGTGACAACGAAGTACATGCGGCAAAACGAAAGAGTTTCCTGTGCAGGTAGAAGACCATCAAGGATCCGCACTGAGCTCATGAAGGCGACAGACACAATAACTGAGGATCTGCAGGAAGCAGCCCCATATTGCATGCTCTATGCAGAAGACATTGTGCCATGCAGCGAAATCAGAGAAGCTGTAGAATCAAAAACCGAAGCATGGAGCAAAGATCTTGAGAAGAACGGCCTTCGACTCAGGAAAGGCAAATTAGAATATATGGCG